ACTGTGCTGGTGCTCTCGGTGGGTGGTGATGTTGTTGCACTGTCCCCTGTGGAAGGTGACACTGTGCTGGTGCTCTCGGTGGGTGGTGATGTTGTTGCACTGTCCCCTGTGGAAGGTGACACTGTGCTGGTGCTCTCGGTGGGTGGTGATGTTGTTGAACTGTCCCCTTTGGAAGATGTGATCGTGCTGGTTCTCTGTGTGGATGCTGAGGTGTTTGTGCTCTGCTTTGGAGAAGTTGTCACAGTGCTGTGTGTCTTGGTTGTTCCTGGACTGGAGTTCTTGAAAAGTTTCACAGTGGCATTTCTTTCAGATGAAGATAATTGTTCTGTGCTTTTATCTGCGGAAATTGCCACAATGGTGTCACTATTACTGAGAATTTTATTCTCTGCCAATATCTGTGTACCACTTTCATATTACCATCTAAAAATATATTTACTGTAGGAGTTTCCAGGGTAATGTCAGGTATAGTTATTTTAGGTGGGCTGTAAATAAAGCCATTTTCAGTAAATTCTGAGATCACAATCCACTGTCTGTATTGACCCTACAAAATTTATGTCCTTTATTTGTCTCTCATACCCTCTTTCTAGGCTGTTAGGTGGTCTTGAACCCCCTCTCAGGACCCTGACTGGTTCTTTTCCAGTTGTGAATAATATTGTTAAGGCTGTGGAAGCTGAGCAGTGATGGACTGTGAGTCCTGAGCCCTTGCTGGCCTGCAGAGCATTGTTGCAGTGCATTTGCACCGAGATGCCCCATTCCAGTACCTCAGGGCCGCAGTGTCTTACCTGTTGTATAGTTCTGCCATAGCTCCCGGTACTCGGGGCCCCAGGCATCCTCTTGAGTAACACGCCCTCCTCCATCCCAAACAGCCCTGTCCTCACTGAGGCCTGAAAGAGCGAAAGGAAGTTAGTGTCTGGATTGGTAACTCTCCTTCTCATTCTGGCTGTCCTTCACTCTCTCCAAACCTGTGTGACTTCCCCTGCTCTCCTCTGGGTCAGGTCCTGGCAGCTCGATCACCTTGCCTGCTTCAGAGCCTAGAAATGAGGCAGGAAACCATAGTCCAAGTAGAGGTGAAGCAAGAAGATGGAGATTGGGGGTACAGTCTTGGGAGGGAGGGGCAATGTGTAATTGTGCTGGTGGGGGAAAGGGTGCTCCTGCCCAATTCAGGAGTCAGAGTTCAGGAAGTGTTTCCAATGGAATATGAGCACAAGTGAGGGATGCCGCTTCCAGGCCTGGCCCGTAAAACCTCCCTTGTCGTCCTGATTCCTCTGCCAGTCAGAGGCAGCTGGTGAGGTGCACAAGAACAGCAGAGCCTCTGGAAATAGCGCAGATCCCTGAGTCAGCACACGAAGGGAAGCTACCTGCAAACATGAACACCTGCCTTGTATAGTTACATGAGCAAAACAAAACCCTGGAGTCCAGCCTGACGGTATCCTGAGCAGAGAACCCAACTGACCCACATTAGCGCCCCCACTTCTGACCGATGAAACTGTGAGATAATCACAGGGTGTTCATTTAAGTGACTAAGTTTGTGGCACTTGGTCACAGCAGGAGTAGAACCAATACAGGCAGGGTGTGTCCTTATCCTAGAGTGAACATAGATATCCTCACATGACTTTTGTATGGGTATGTATGTGCATCCATAGGGCAAATTCCTGATGCTGGGCATTGCCGGGTGAAAGAGCAGGAGCACTTTGCATTGTCAAGTCTCTCGGATCACACGCCCCCCCCCCACGCCCACAGCAGCGCCTGTTCCTCACGCCCTTTGCAACCAGTATGCTGTGTGGTTTTTAGATTCCTGGCAGTTGTAATGGACTAAATTCTGTCTCCACCCAAAAGATATGTTGATGCAAGAGAAAGAACCTGGATTATTGTCTAACTCTATACACAAAAGTAAACTCGAAATGGATCAGACTTGAATGTACGTTATGAAACCATAAAACTCTTAGAAGAAAACATAGGGCAAAAATTTCTTGAATAATGGGTGGGAAGGGAGGGATAAGGGGGAAAAGGGGGCATCACAATTAGCACGTATAATGTAGGGGGAGACACAGGGAAGGCAGTATAAAGACAAGTAGTGATTCTATAGCATCTTACTACGCTGATGGACAGTGACTGTAATGGGGTATGTTGGGGGGACTTGATAATAGGGGGAGTCTAGTAACCACAATGTTGTTCATGTAATTGTGAATAGCAAAATTAATGATAGCAACAAAAAAAATTTCTTGAATATAAAAATGAAAAACTTTTTCCTGAACATATCTCCTCAGGCAAGGCAAACAAAATAAAAAATGAACAAGTGGGACTACATCAAGCTAAAATGCTACCATCAGCAGAACAAAAAGACACCCTATAGTATGGGAGAATATATTCATACATGATTCATCCAATAAGGGGTTAGCATCCAAAATATATAAAGAACTCATACTCCTCAACACCCAAAAAACAAATAACCCATTTAAAAAAATGGGTGGAGGACCTAAACAGACACTTCTCTAAAGAAGAAATTCAGATGGCCAACAAGCACATGAAAAGATGCTCCGCATCACTAATCAGCAGCAAAATACAAATTAAAACCACAATGAGATATCACCTCACACCAGTTAGGATGGCCACCATTCAAAAGACAAGAAACAACAAATGCTGGCGAGGATGCGGAGAAAGGGGAACCCTCCTACACTGCTGGTGGGAATGTAAATTGGTTTAACCATTGTGGAAAGCAATCTGGAGGTTCCTCAAAAAACTAAAAATAGAAATACGATTTGACTCAGTAATTCCACTGCTAGGAATTTACCTGAAGAAAACAAGATCCCTGATTCGAAAGGACATATGCACCTCATGTTTATCGTAGCACTGTTTACAATAGCCAAGGTATGGAAGCAACCTAAGTGTCCATCAGTAGATAAAAGAAGATGTGGTACATATACACAATAGAATATTATTCAGCCATAAAAAGAAAAAGAAATCCTGCCATTTGCAACAACATGGGTGGATCTAGAGGGTATTATGCTCAGTGAAAGAAGCAAGGCAGTGAAAGACAAATACCAAATTATTTCACTTATTTGTGAAGTATAAAAACAAAGCAAAACAGAAAGAACAAAACAGCAGTAGACTCATAGGCACTGAGAAGGGACTAGTGGTTACCAAAGGGGAGGGGGAGCAGGGGAGGGAGAAGGGGATTAAGGGGCACTGTAATTCACAATCACAATATAGGTTGATCACAGGGACAGTAGTATAGCATGGAGAATACAGTTAATGACTCTGTAACATCTTACTATGTTGATGGACACTGGAGGGGATGAGGAGTTGATAATACAAGTGAATGTTGAGCCACAATGCTGTGTATGGGAAACCATCATAAGGTTGTATATCAATGATACTTTCTTAAGAAAAAACAAGCAGGGAAATAAGTATGCATAGTAATAATTTTAAAAAAAAGAAGATCTGTTGAAATCCTAACCCCCACCACCGTGGAATGTGACTTCGCTTGGAGATAGGGTCTTTCCAGAGGTAGTCAAGTTGAGATGAGGTCATTAGGAGAGCCCCAATCCATTATGACTTGTGTCCTCTTAAGAAAGGAGGAAATTGGGACACAGAGAGGGAAGACAATGAAATGGTCATGTGACCAGAGCAAAGCCTTCTCCAGCCAGCCCCCAAGGTTAGTCAGCAAACACCAGAAGGTAGAAAAGGTAAGGAAGGAATCTCCCCTGGAGATATCAGATGGAACGTGGCCCTGCGGACACCTTGATTTCAGGCTGCTGGTCTCCAGAACTGTAAGACCACAGTGTCTGTTGTTTGGGTTGCCCCATTGATGGTGCTTATTACAGCACCACCAGAGAACTGAGGGGGGTAAAGTGAGCACCTCTTTGTAGCCCATGTCCTCTCCTTCTCAGAAGACTAGAAGACCGTCTTCCCTTCACTTCCGGCAGGGCCGTTCTGTCTAGGCTTCCTTTGTGGCAGGCCTGCCTGGGGCTCTGCCCTGGGTGCCCCTTCCTTCTCTGCCCAGTCTCCTTTGAAGGCTGAGTTCATGGCTTTCACACCATCTACATCCTGGCAACTTCCCTATGTGCCCGCCCATTGCTCTGGCCTCCCCTGTCAAGGGCAGACTGGTTCCCATTTTCAACTTGACCTTGTCAGGTAATGTTAATTGGTCACCCCAGACTTATCCAAATCAGAACTTCAGATTGCTTGGCTAGATACTGCTCAGAGGCAGACTTCTACCAGTGGTGGAGCCAGGACCTCAGAAGGCATCTTAATTCTCTTTCCTCTCACCTCCCCTGTGAACTCCAACAGCCAGGCAAGCTGGTGCTTCCTGCAGAGCATATCTGCAACATGTCTGCTTCTTTCCGTTTCTCCAGGAACCACCAGGTCGGTGTTGTCCTCTGTTCTCACTGACGTTGCTGCCACGGCCCCCGCCCCATCCCTCTGCTGCCTACCAGGCCTCCACGCCCATCAGTTCTGCACTCCACAGCTAGAAGAATTGCTTCAAAACACACCTAGGCTCTAACCCCTTCCCCCTCCCCACTCCCACCATTTCATAGTGTCCCCCTCCTACAATTGATATGGTAAAGTCCTAAGCTCCAGGACCACAGAATGTGACATTGGGAAATAGAGTCATTGCAGATGTGACTAGTCCAGATGAGCTCATGCTGGAGCAGAGGAAGCCCTGATCAAATAGGACTGGTGTCCTTAGAATAAAGGGAAGTTTGTACACAGAGACTGGCACAAGGAGAATGCTGTGTGAACATGAAGACGGAGATCGGGGCGATGAGTCTACAAGGCAAGGAATGCCGAGATTGCCAGCAAACCATGGGAAGCCAGCACCGAGAGGGCAGAGGGGGCACGGCCCTGCTGACCCCATGGTTTTGGACTCTGTACCTCCAGAACTATGAGGGGGCCCAGGTAGGCACTTGAGCGTATGTTCCTTAGACTCTCTTGGGAGGGTAGGAGTAGGATGGTGGTGGAAAAACAGGGCTGGTGAAATGGCCCCAGACTGGGGAACAGGGAGGCAAGAAGTGCCCATAGTGAGATGACTGAGCACCCAGGCCTGAGCTCATTAGTGCTGGGTGTGGGAGGTCAGAGGCATTTGCCAAGGCTGGACAGGGCTGGGCTGAGCCGATGGGACATTGTGTTGTGTTGATAGGCAATATAACCAGGGCGTGCTGGAAGGAGGGGCCAGAGCACAGGTGAGAGGCTGTATGTGCTGGGAAGAGCCAGGTGGAGCCTCTAGGCATTTCCTCAAGGCCACCCCAACCCCATGCTGGCATCTCCAGCCCAGTAGCCTGGGAGGGACGTGGCTTCAGTTCCCCAGAGAGGGAACATGAGAGAGTCAGATGCCACATGAAAGCTGGCCAGGACTCTACAGACCAGCCAAGGCCAGGCCCAGAAAGGGGACCCCAGAAGCCAGAGAGCAGGAGGGATCTGAAAGGCCCCATTTCACAGAGGGGGAGACTGAGGCTGGAGACACAATGAGCCACAGCGTGCAGAATGCGGGAGGAGGCCAAGAGTGGGGAGAAAAGAAAGGGAGAGAGGGAGAGGGAAGGGAGACTCAGGGAGAAAGGAAGGAGGGGGCAGGGCCAGGGGTGGCGGGGTGAGAGGGAGCCGGAAATGTCTTCTCGGGCAGAAACTCATCATCACGCCTGAAATGCCACCATCAGCTGTCAGTGACTCAGAGTCTGGGAGGCATACGAAGTCCCAGGAAGAGGCTGCCATTGCTCCTAGTAAGACAGTAGCTCCAGGTGACGTCACAGCAGAGTCCGTGCCAAGTGATAACCATGTTCAGGTCCAAGAGCCAGCCCTTTAGAGGAAGCCAGACCACTGCCTCCCTGCCCCAGCCTCCCTGTCCCCATCCTCTGCATTTGCCCAGTCAGCCCTTACGTTGGCCCCCAGAGAAGGCCCTGCCTCCCATGGGTGGGTTCGGGCCAAGGAGGCCCAGCCCCCAGCACTGTAGCCAAGTGTACTTCCTTCCCTTCTGCCACCCATTTCCACCTGGAAGAAGAGTTGGCCAGGGTCTGGGACCAGGGGGCCGAGCCCCACTGCTCCTTGCATTGTGAGCTCAGGGCAGAACAAAGTCCAGGACACAGCAGTTTGAATGACATCTACCGGGCCCTGCATGAGCCCCCCATGTCTGCCTCCAAGCCCCATCCCCTGCACCCAGGCCACCCCACTCCTGCTTAAGGTAGCAGGAGGCCAGCACTTTGGTTTCCGCCTTTCTCCCCCTCCCTCTTCTCTGGGGACAAGCGAGGGGCAGAGGGTCCAGGACCCACTGCCACTCTCTGCTGGCCTGAGCCTGGTCCCCACAGCCACAGAGCCCAGAGCAGCTGCACTGGGAGGAACCCTAGAGGTCCTTCCTTTAGGGGAATAAACAGACCAGAGATGAACAGAGTTGCCCTACAGCAAACAGCTATTTCATAGTAGCCATAGAACCCGGAGCTCCCGAAGCCCCATCTTGTGCCTGTTCAGCTGCAGCAGTGGGCGCTCTCCTGGTTCTGGGATGTGACAGCCTCGGAGCCCAAGGCAGGGGTGTTGTGATGCAGAAATGGCCAGGACAGGAGTCAGAGCATGGAGTGAAGGTGTTTGTCTCTTGCTATGTAAGGAAGACCCCAGCCTTTGGTGTAGGGATAAGAGAGAGGAGGGACTCGAGGGGCACATCCACCGGTTAAGTACAGACCCTAACATCAACTGAGCAGCTGTCATGTGCCAGGGATTGTACCCGGGGGCTTCTGTCTCACTCTCCTTCTGGAGGGGAAACAGGTTCAGAAAAGCTAACTTGCAGGTGCTCCAAAATGCCAGCTCGTCTCCCAAATCTCACGGCGAAGAGAAAGGGAGAAGGTGAGGGGCATGAGGCTGAGCTCCAGGCGGGCAGGACCCCCGCCTGTGCTTCCCAGAGGCAGTCCTTCCCGGGGTGTGGGTTGATCCAGGAGCTGCTGGGGCTGAGTGGGCAGTGGGATGGGGGGCACTCACCCTGCCCAGCGGCACTCTCAAGGGGCGGGAGCTGGAGGGCGAGGGGCAGCAGGCAGAGTGTCACTGCTACCAGTCTCGACATCAGAGCTCTGAGGGCAGCAGGCCAGCCCTTCACCCTCGCAGGAATGAACAGAATAAACATTAGCCAGGGAACCCCAGAAATAAATGGGCTCCAGAGCACTTTGATCCTGAGGTCTGGGGGCCAGCCTGAACCTGAGTCAGCCTGGGAGTTTCAATCATGACTGGGGATGTGGAGCCTATTCCAGGCCAAAGGGCAGAGGGAGGGGAGCCCCTCCCTGGCCAGGCAGCACAGAGGCACCCAGGCCATCAGATCTGTCCCCCCAGGAGAGGGGCAGGTGCTGGGGCCTGAAGCAGCCTGGGAGAACTGGGGAGACGCCTGGAGAAGGGTGGGATGGCGGGAGGGAGGCTGGGCCTGAACCCAGGAGGGAAAGGGCACCTTGCGCTTGACTCCAGCCCCTGACAAGGGGACCCCCTGACAGTGAACCCCCTGAGAGTTCACTCATTTGTCTTCTGGGGGCTCCCATACCTCATTCCCTGGGCCCAAGGTCTACTCCTGGGTCCTGATCCAAGGCTCATCTGCCACAGAGACCTCAGGCAGAGTTGGGCCTGGCCCTGCCTGGGCCTGGGGCAGGCAAGGGGCCCCACTCCACGGGTGGGCATGGGGAGGGGCCAAGGGTATCCCATGTCCAGATTTGATGCCCAGCCCTGGGAGGAGTGCTCTCCCTGAGAGGGACCTCCAGAGACCCAAGCCTGCAGCCAGGCACCCTCACCCCCACCCCCAGGAAGGAAGTCATTCACACTGCACTGTGCATTTGAAGCCTCGCTTTTTTATTGGTAGGGAAATTCTAGAATGTGGGGCAAACAAGGCTGCCGAGGAGTCTGGCATCCTTGATGCTTCTGGATGAGGGCAAGGAAGCAACACGGGGCTCAAGCAGGGGCCAGGGCCAAGCCCAGGCAGCTCTAAGCAGGGCCACTCTGGGCCCCGAACGTCTGTTTGCTCTTGACTGACGGACGGGGGTGCCTGCAGTGGGCCCTCTGCTGCCGTCTTGCCCACATCTGGGGGAGGGGTGGGAATCTCTGTCCCCTCACTGAGCCGTCGTCACCACTCGGGGCCTCTGGATGTGGAGCTGGGGGGTGGGAGAGAGGAGGTGAGGCCAAGGGGCCGCTGAGCATTGGCCACGCTCTGCCTCTGAGCTGAATGGGCCCCACCCTCCCCAGACAGCACCAGGGTGCTGGGGGCCAGGGTCGGGAAGAAGCAGCTCCCAGCCTGGGATGGGCCCCTGAGTCACCTCTGTGCTGGGGTCAACTTTCTTCAGGGAGGGCCGGAAGCGGCTGTAGAGGGTTTTCAGGCTGAATTTGTCCTCCTTCAGATCATCACCTGTAGGGAGAGATGTCAAGGTGAGCATGAGCCTGCGGGAGGCTGGAGGAACACCCGGGGGGCAGTGGGAACATGGGGAGCTTTTTCCAGTAAAAGGAGCAGGTTTGGAGAGTCAGTCCTATACCTGCCTAAAGCATCATTCACTGCCTGCCCCTCCAACCCCTCGCTGCGGCCCATCTCTGAGGTGGGTCTGGTCGGCTCTGACACACGTCTGGGGCGCTGGCCCAGCGTGACACAGTCACAGAGGGAACCAGAACAGCAGCCCTGTGCCTCAGGGTCAATAGTCATGGCCAGGGGCTGCAGGCAGGTGCTGGGATGATAGCTGGGGTGGAGCTGGGGTGTGAGGGAAGGGCCTGCTCAGCCAGGCACACTTCCTGTGATGGCAACAGTAGCCACAGCAGGCAGGAACCAGCTGTGCCAGGAATATCCCCATCAGAGATGGCGCATGCGCAGCACCCCACACTCAGCATGCCCCACCAGCTGTCCCACGCGTCCCATCTCAGGCTGTAGCCCCATCCAGGCCTTCTCCCTTCCCCAGCCACAGCCCTACCCAGCTCACTATAGCAAACTGTGTCACCTGCCCCCTATCCTTGCTGCCCCCGCTCAGCCTTGCTGTCCTTCCCTGCGATACTGCAGAACCACCTCCTTGCTCTCCCCATCTGGTGCTGTCCCCTCAAATCTACCTGAAAATGAGCAGCTCCAAACGTACTTCTCAAAACCTCTCCCATAAAGCCCCCCTAGTGGGTCTCTACCATGGCCCACAGAGCCCTCCAGACCCGGCTGGGCCAGCCTCACGACCCACTGACCCGCCTGCGGTATCCCCTGGACGTTGCTCTTCCCCTCTCCACCCCTTTGCTTAAGCAGTGCCCCTGCCCGGAAAGCCTTTACTCTCTCTTTGCCAGGTTCCAAGTTCCTGGAAGCAGGAAGCACACCGCTCACTCACCAGCTGTGGCAGTAAATGGCCTGGCCCAGGGCCCCCAGGCGACGCCCCCTCTGCAGTCCCTTATGACTTGCCCCACCCCAGGCTGGTCAGGCATACTTCTGTGCCCTGTCAAGCCCCGCATGGCCCTGTCAGCCCACTAACTGTGTGAGCAGCTGGTGCCCCCGGGGTGGTCCCAGGGCAGGACCTGGCTCTCAGCCTCCCCTTCTTGGTCTTTGTCAGGAAGAACTGGGAAGGCAGAGTTTGCTCAGAGTTGGGAGTGTTGGTGGATGAGATGAAGGAGAAGCCCTCAGTGAATGCGTGTGGCCAGAGAGTAGAGCAGACGTGACATGACAGTTTCCATGGCACCTGCGTGCAGCCAAGAGAAGCTCTGGGAGCCAGTAAGGGTTGGCCACACAGCAGGCTACAAGGAGGGGTAGCGTTTTAACCATATCTTAGAAACAGAGTGGGACTGGAGCACGCAGAGACCTGGGCAAGGGGAACCTTCCAGACAGTGGCACAGCTGGTGCAAAGGTGTAGTGGAGGGAAATGGTGAGTAGTGGCCTCGCACAGGGGCACAGGGAACTTGATAAGGAGGGGCTGAGAAACGGTGAGTGTCAGCAGGGGCTGCCCTGGGGTCAGGGTCAGGAGGCCACAGAGGAGCTGGCCAAGCCTGGCTGCTGCAGCAGATGTGCCACCGGCTGGCAGTGTGCATCACCCACAACCACACGGAGCCCACCGCGGTACCCTCTCTGCCGCTGTTCACCCACCAGCTTTGCCCTGACCCTTGCCTCTGATGAGAGGTACCTTCCCAGATGTCTGTGTTCTGGAAACTTCCAGGGATGTCTTCTTCTTGCCACTCTCGAGACAGATTGTACTCTTTCCTGCCAACAGAAATGCCGTGAGTTCTGGTGACAGGGAGGCAGAGGAAGGGGCTTAAAGGGCCCCGACCCTGCCCTGGGCTTCAGTTCCGGAAGGGGCTGTCACATCCAAGCCCTGAGGCAAGGAGGGCCCTGCTCCCAGAAGCATGAGCAGAAAATGAAGCAGCAACCCATAGTCTGCCCCCATCTCTCCCATCAGTGGGCCTGCCTCCTCCCTTCCCTGTGAGATGCGGCATCGAACCAGTCAGAGCACCTCCTCTGGACTGCTGACCAGGGGCTGCTCACCCCACTCATAGCTCTTCCCCATTCCATAGCTGGGGAAGGTGACACCTGGCAGCTCATTTTGTGTTCTGGGGGCACAGTATGGCTTCTGGCAACTAAAGTGACAACAAACACCACGTCATTTCATCACATTGTCCATTTGCAGTACGTAAGATTTTGGTTCCATTTCTTTGCCATGCAGATGAGTCCTATCATATCATCAGGCTGCCCTCTGCCATCCCTAGAGCTGGAAGAGGCTGGGTCCCCATCCAGGGCTGGCTGCCAAATGCTGAGCTGGAAGGAGCAGAGCCTTGGGATATGTTGCCTGTGGTCCCTTTTCAGGGCCCAGCCGCAGAAGCTTACCTTCGCAGTTTCCTCTGGGATCGGCCGAGGAAGACGGTCAGGACAACCACCACGAGGACCAGCAGCCCCACAGCAGCCCCCACGCTCCCATACACCAGGCTCTTACTGGTTTGCAGCTCACAGGTCTCTCCCCAGTACCAGTGTGTGTCCGAGGTTGGGCATCTGGGGACACACGCAGGCTCAGGCCGACCTGCCAGCAGCCCTCACACCCAGTCTCCCAAAAGGAAAAAATCAATTTCAAGGCACAGGAAACTGGCTCCCCCTCCAAGGGCAGGTGCATGTCACCCTCCCTGACTCCCTAAGGCTAAGGGACAGTGAGGAGGTGGGGAGCCTGGGACTGCAGAGTAGGAATTCAGAATGTGAGAATGTCAGATGCTTCATCCCAGACATTTGATGTTCACCCATCAAATCTCCAGTAGCTCGCACCTTGACAGGCCTGTTATCATTATACAAAATACTATAAAGTATTTTGTACTTTAATTTATGGTCTCCCTAACTGAGTATGCCAGCTACTGCCACAGGTGATGATAGCATTACGGCAAGGAGGACATAAGGAAAATGAATGATAGAAACAGAGATCTATAGATACATATTTGGAAATTAGTAACGGGAACTTTCTCAGGAAGGGACTTGCTCGGTGCAAGGATGCCCACATCCATAATCTGCTCTGGTAGGAGTGGGGGTGATGAGAGATCCCAGTAGAAAAAAGATGCCTGTAGGGGAGGGGGAAGGAGGTGCTTTGCAAGCTCTGCCCACCCCTGCCCTGCCCCCTCGGGTGACTGTAGGGGACAGTACAGCTCCACCAGCAGACAGGATGGGTGCTGGGCTTGGAGGGGCCAGGCACTCACAGGCAGCGGGGGCCACTTCGTTGCATCTGGCACTTGCCCTCATGACAGTTCAGTTGCAACTTCGCTCCTTCAGTGCAATTGGTCACACAGGCTAGCTTCCCTTTCAGCTCATCCACATAGTAGAACTGGGCAAACTCCTTTGCAGCCTTCTGAGTGCATTGCTCTGAGGGTGACGAGTGAGTGGCAAGCATGAGCCTGGTTAAAGCACCCCTGCCCTCACGTTTACCTCCCACACTCTGTCCCCCACCCCCCGTGGAGCTACTTACCCTGCAGGTCAAAGCCCAGCTTCACAGTCGTGCTCACTGTAGTGGCCTCCTCACTGTAGCACAGATTTGAGGGGGCTGCCAAGGGTGGTGGTAAAGAAAAAACAGAAATACTGCCTTGGGTCCCCTGAGGGCCAGCCTGGCCTGAGTACCTTGCCCAGAAACCTCTTCCAGTCCTGGGCTGATGCTGTCACCAGCCCTAATGTCCCCATTTGCACCAGCTCATAGGCCCAGCTGCCCCTAGGGATGGGGACATTAGGGCTGGTGACAGCATCAGCCCAGGACTGGAAGAGGTTTCTGGGCAAGGTACCCATGCCAGGGTCCTGGATTCCTATAGGGAGGCTCCTGGAGTTCAGAAGAGAGGAGGGGTTCAAGGTTTGGGAGCTGAGACCTCCCTAAGGGACCCCTCCCATCTTTCCCCACCAACGTCAAGGGGTTTTAGGTGGGCCTACCTTTGCACTTCTCAGAATCATTCAGGACACTTTTCGTCTCATTCATAATCTTGGCCCTTACGATCTCAGTGAGGTTTTTAAACAGTTTCTCAAATTCTGAAGTGTAGTTTGCCTCCAGGACGACATCATGATCCACCACGATGCTGCCGTTGCTGGAAGCAGGAGCCGATGGCTCATCAGTCACCCCGTGTCACCAGCCCTCCCAGCAAATGGGGCCCAAGGAGCAAGAGGTGTGATGAGAGACAATTAGACATAACCCAGAGGCGCAACAGAAACAAGGGGCTCTTCCCTCCAGTAATTGAAAACCTAGAGGGAAGCCACAGAGTAAAACGATCTGAGATCCCAAAATAGCAACTGAACAATAAATGCCACTGAGCAAAACTCACTCCTAAGAAGGGAGGCTCTTGGACAAAGATGTAGAGAAACTGAACCCGTGTGATCTATTGGAGGGAATGTAAAATAATGGTGCAACCACTGTGGAAAACAGTATGGCGGCTCCTCAAAGAATTGAAAATAGAAATATCATTTGATCCAGCAATTCCACTTCAGGGTACACACCCAAAAAATTCTTTTTGAATTGGAAGCAGGAATTTGAAGACATATTGGTACACCCATGTTCAGAGCAGCACTATGCACAGTAACTAAAAATGTGGATGCAGTCAAAGTGTCCATCAGTGGATGAATGGGTAAACAAAATGCAGTCTATCCATAGAAGTGATTATTATTCAGCTATAAAAAGGAAGGAAATTCTGAGACATGCTAATACATGAATGAACATTAAGGACGTTATGCTAAGTGAAATAAGCCAGTCACAAAAGGACAAATACTGTACAAGTATTTATATGAGTAATCAGATTCATAGAGACAGAAAGCAGAAAGTAGAGGGGCATGGGGGGCTAGTGTTTAAAGGGGGCAGAATTTCTGTTTGTAAAGGTGAGAAAGGTCTGGAGCTGGATGGTGGCGGTGGTTAGCTTAATACCCCTGACCTGTGTGCATGAAATGGTTAATGGCAAATTTTATGTTATGGCTATTTTACCATAATAAAAAATATTTTAAATAAAATACTAAAAATAGAGGCTCTTGGATTATATTTGAAAACCAAGTGAGCTTTTAGAAGTGGAGAAACATGAGGTCACTTGAGAAATAGAGGATTCCAACTGAGAAACTGCTCATTATATGGTCAGTTGGTGCTGCTGAAGGGAGAGATCTTGAGACAAGGTCAGCCACCGCCCACAGCCACTGTGACAGAGACGTGAGGGCAGGACAGGAGGGCTTCAGCCAACAGAGCCCTGAGCCACAGTGGAGATGGGACAATGGCACTGATGCTGGGCGGGCGTGAGGGTGGGGATGGAGGGCATAGAGCCATGAAGCCCCACAGGCCCTGGACAGCAAGTCACCTTCCTTCCAGACACCTTCTCTTCCCCTGGCTGCTGGGACAAGAAGCTCTCACACTGCTGTCTGCTTCTCTGCCCTCTCCTTTGGGGGCTCTGACTCCCCTGCCCAGCCCTCTCATACTGGTACTTCCCATGCCTCTTGCTTGCAACACCTTTGTGCCTGTGCTGTGACCATCCCGGCCATCTGGTCTACTCCCAGGGCTTCCAGCGACATCCACCCAGGGATGTCAACACCAGTCTCCACTGCAGACACTTCCTATCATGTGTTCAAGCTTCTGTTGCTCCATCACTCAAGCACTCCGTGTGGCTGGGCCCCAAGACTTGAAGACTTGACATGGCCCATCATCTCCCTTCATCCTACCCCTCCTTACATTCCTCCTCTCAGCACAGGGCACCCACACTCCCAGCAGCCCAGAGATCTGGTGTCACACCTCCTCTCCAGCACCCATCAAGTCCCATGGTCTGCTGGTCCTGCCTCCTGAAGAAAGGCCTTTCACACCAGACTACTTTTCTTCTTCATTGTCACTTCTCTGGTCCAGGCCATTATCAGCTCCATCCCCTGCCCACCCTTTCTCAGCCCTGCAGCCAGACAGAGCTGGTCTGCAGTGTAAATCTGATGTCATCTCATGTGGGCTGAAACTGCTGGTTTAAGCCTAAACTGCTGCTTAAAGCCTAAACTGGGTACAAGTCATTTTTCCAACCTTTGCCACCATGACCCCTTTGCCCTCAAGCAACACGCTGTACTTTACATTCCTGGGATCTGCCCCACTCCTTCTTACTTCTGGGCTCTGTATCATTGATTCTGTCTGCTGCATCCCTGTCCGTTCCCTCAACCTGACTCGTTCCACATCAGCCTTCAAGCCTCAGCTTAGCTGTCCCTTCTTCCGGGGGCATTTGCCTCCACCTTACCAAGCTTGCATCTGGGACCTCTCCCACTGCAACCTGTGCACCCCTTACCGTATCTCTAACCAGAAGGCACAGCTGTTTTGCTATCTGTGTTCTGCCACTTTAGCTCCATGAAGACCGGGACCACTGTGTTCCCAGCACCTAGCACAGGAGAGGCTTTCAATGCAAATTTGTTAAATGGATGAATGATGAATGATGAATGAATGAATGAACAAATGGTCTCAGAGCCCTCAGGTATTGCCTGCAGGCTAGGAAACCCCTGGCCCAGCCAGGTACTGATACTTATTCATGATGGGAGGAGGGAGGAGAGCAGGGAAGAGAGTGGGGGCTTCCCACAGTCGGTAAGTCTGCCCCCCCACCCCAACATACTCACAGCAGTCTCTTGACGATCACGCCTCTGTACTGGGGAAAGTCTTTGCCCATGTAAGCTTTATCCATCTGAAAGAAACGGGGCAGCTAAAGCTCATACAGCAGCCTCATTTCCTGTCTCGGGGGCAGCCCCAGAGTCCCCTTCCCTCAGGGAGTCCACGTACTAGCCCACAGAGAAGAAAGAAGGGAAGGCACGGGGACACTCCCTCTGCCAGGATGTGGTGGTGCAGGGCTCAAGGAAGGAAGCTCTCAGGACTTGGGAAGACCAAAAAGATCCATAAGCTGGGCAACTCTGATGAGTAAGTCTGGATGAGCTGAGCACCCCCTCTCCCACTGGAGACCCACACTGGAGCATCTCGGCTTCCCCACTCCTACCTGACTGTTGAATAGTTGAATGAAATTCCAGTATGCCTGGGAGGATGCGTTATTCAGGTCTTCCGTGAAATTCCTGTTAGTCACTTTCACTGTCACACCTACAGTGGCATTGATTTTTTCCGGGATTTCTGTGGGAACAGGCCACAGTAGGCATGAGACAGCAACCCCCCAGCAATGTCTTCCCAGATCAGTTAATTCTCTGCCTGTTGGTCTCATGGAGGCAGAGTAAGTGGGTAGCAGAGTGGATGGAAATTCAAGAGGCAAGTAGGAGTTCCTGAAACATCTGCCCCTTGTCTCTAAATACCATGAGGAGCTAGTGGCCAGGATTACGACCCAGAGAGAGCTAAGGGGAAGGCTTCAGAAAGGGTTGGGATAGAAACTTCCTGATGAGCGGGGACAGGTGAGCCAGTGGGAGGGGCCCTGAAGGGGGAGGCAGGTCTATGCTTTACCTGCTCACTGCCTAGGTGAAAGTCACCCTTTCTCCCCTACCTGCACAATGAGGCAGTGGTAGCCGATGATGCTTCCAGTGCTGCCTCCCGTTTAAGTGGTTAAGGGGTGTGGGGATGATCTGCAGAGAATCAGCAGAGAAGTTCATTACCTAGGAAGAAGGAGTCCACAAGGGACTTGCACTGGTCGCCAAAGAAGCCTTGCTCACAGACACACTCTTTTCCATTCCAGGTGGTCCCAAGCTGGCACTGACCTGTGGAGGGGTAAAATCCACAGCAGTTACCACAAGAGCCCACGTGACAAGAACGCCAGCTCCTGTTCCAGGTCCCATCATTCAGACATTGCACTGGCAGAGGGGGAGGGGCCCAGGTGATCATGCGGCAACCAAGACCCAAGACCCCTCTATCGCCACCTCAATCCCCAGAAGAAGGTGGGGAGAGGAGGAGGGACAAGGGGGGGAAAGGAGAGAAGAGATGAAAAAGGACAGGCAAAGGAAACAAGAACCCTGCCATCAAAAGAGAACAAATTTCATCCACATGGACAGCATGCACTGGCAACAGAAGGCACTGGAAAGGTGGAACCTGACCACAGAGAGGTCTCAGCTGATGACGGAAGGTGGCCAGGACAGGCCCAGATAGACTTACCTGTTGTCATGGCCGGAGAGTGGCTTGTCACCACAGTTGTGCGGGTGCCAGTGGACAGGGGATGGGGAGCTGAAGCGGTACTGAACCTAGGGCCAAGCGAAGTGGAGGACTGAGGAGGAGAGAACCCGGAGGTTCTAATGGCTGAAGAATAGTCCGGGGCTGGCCTGGAGGAGAAGTCAGGGATAGCTGAGGCTGACGAGGAGGCACTAGGGACTGTGGTCTGGCAGCTGTCAGGGGACATTGTTGGGCTTGGTGACCCTACACCACTCGGGAAGACTGTAGATCCTCCACTGAGGGTGGTGACTTTCGGTCTAGAGATGACTGTCGTTGTAGAGGAGGGCGTGAGAATTGATGGGGATGCAGGACTAGGGTTGTCTGTGGCTGAAGGGATGGAGGTAGAAACTGTTGGTTTGGTAGAACCACTGCTGGTGATGAAGAGAGTGGAATCCTCACCCAAGGTGGTGGGTATGTTTCCAGAGGTGGCTGGGGAGGAAGAGGAATGGATGGGACTTGATGAGGATGATGGATTAAGATCTTCTGCTGTGTTAGGGGCATCAGGTGAAGCACCTGTGCTGGAGGAATAGGTGGTGGTGGTAAAGACACTGGCCTTAGCGAAGGTGGTGACTGTAGTGGAAGGTGAGGGGCCAGAGCTTGGCAGAGATGCAGGGCCGCCTCTAGGAGGGGTGGAGGTGGCACCACCAGAAACCACAGGACCAGAGACAACGGACACAGTGGTGTAGAGAGTTGGCTTCTCTGTGAAAACTGTAGTTGTTTGTCCAGAGATCAAGGTGATGGAAGATAATTCACCAGGGCTTGATATGGAAACAGGATTTCTATTGATGGTGGAGGAGGGAACAGCTGAACTCATGGGATGAGATGAATCAGACACGTCTGTGTGAGCGTTGGAAGCTTGAGGAAGGGATGTGAGTGTTTGCCCAGAGACCAAAGTGGTGGAAATTAATTCACCAGCACCAGATGGGGAAGAAAGACTTGCATCCTCAGTGGTATAGACGGTGTCATGTGGAACTGTCGGAAGTGGTGAATCTGAGAGGACTGCGGAGACAGTGGATTCCACAGGAATGGACAATGTGGGTGTTTTTTGATATCCACCTATAGTGGAAAAGGATTCACCTGAACTTGAAGTTGAAGCAAAACTTGCATCCTCTTTGGGAAGGGTGGTGTCTGAGGTCACTGTAGTTTTGAACTCATGGGTAACTGTATAGACAGCAGACCCCTCACTGAGGGTGGAGGATGAATGTTGTGAGACACCCGTGGTTGTAGACAGCTGACCAGAGCTAGAAGAGGACACGGAACTCCCTTCAGATCTGGTAAAGGAAGTTTCAGAGGAAACTGTAGATTTGGACAAATCAGAAATACTGGTATAGACAGTTAACCTCTCTGTGGGAATCATAGTAGTTTGTTCAGAGAGAACAGTGGGGGTAGAGAGGCCACTGAGGCTTGCTGGGGAAGCAGTGCTGTAGGCAGGGTGGGTAGAAAGTGTGGGCGTGGACACCTGTGAGATGACTGTATAGAATGTGGTTGCTGGATGAAGAGCTGTTGGTCCATCAACAGCAGAAGTGGTAAAGGACTCGCCAGGGCTTGAAGCGGATACAGGATTTCCACCCTCTTTGGTGAAGGTTATTGTGGATGAATCTGTGGGTTGAGAAGAATCAGAGATAGTGCTGTGCCCCGTGGGTTTCAGGGCAACTGTAGCGGCGGTTGGTCCTGAGACAGCTGAATTAGTAGCTGCCTCTCCAGAGCTAGATGAAGCTGCAGAACTCCCAGTGCCTATGGGGTGGGAGCTGTAGGGAGAAACTGTTGATTGAGATGAATCAGAAAAGGTGACGAAGATGGCTGTCTCCTTTGTGAGAGCAGTGGTTTGTTCAGGGACCACAGAGGAGGTTGAGAGCTCGGTAGGGCTTGGTGGAGGTGCAGGCCTTGCACTGTCTGTGTTGTAGGAAGCGTGGGTAGGAAATATTGATGTGGATAAGTCAGAGCTTATTGTGTAGAAAGTGGATCCTCTAGGAAAGGTTGTGGTTGAGTGTTCTTCACCACCAGAGGTGGTAAAGGATTCAGTGGGATTTAATGTGGAAGCAGAAAATCCATTCTCTTTGGTGACCATCATCTCCACAGTAACTGTAGATTTGGATAAATCAGGTGTACCTGTATAGACAGCGGTGCCTGTGGCTGTAGGGGTGGTAGACAGCTGGCCAGGACCTGAAGGGGATGCGGCACTTCCATCATCCCTGGGAGAAGAGGTTTCCAAAGAAACCGATGTTGTGGACAAACCTAAAATGTGTGTGTAGAGACTTGTCTCTTTGGCAAATGTCATGGCTGTTTTTCCAGAGGCCTGAGTGCTGGCAGATGACTCACCAGGACCAGAAGGGGATGAAGGGCTTGCTGTGTAATCAGTATGGAAGATGTCAGGTGAAACTGTAGGGTTTGGTGAGTTGGGGAGGGCTGTGGAGACCGTGGGTTCCACAATGAAGGACCTGGTGATGTGACCACCACCGCTGGAAGCAGTAGGCGAGTCACCAGGACCTGATGGGGCCATAGGACTCCAAGTGCCTGTGAGCTGGGAAGCCTCAGATGATGCTGTGGATTCGGGTGAAAGAGACATGGTTGACTCCTCAACGAGAGCGGTGGTGGTGTGTTCAGAGGCCACATTGTGGGTAGACAGCTCCCTGGGGCTTGATGGGGAAGCAGGGCTTGCCTTGTCTGTGCTGTATGAAGGGTGGACAGTAAATGCTGGTGTGGACACCTCTGATGAAGTAGTGTAGAAAGTGGATACTGTAGAAAAAGATGTAGTCACGTGTCCATGATCAGTTTCGGTGGCAAAGGACTCACCAGGCCTTGATGTGGAAGCAGAAAATCCATCTTCCTTGGTAACAACACTGTCCAAGGTAACTGTAGGTTTAGATGTATAGACAGTGGATCCCTCAAACAGGCCTATGGTTGACTGTTCTGAAGCAGTCAGGGTAGTAGACAGCTGGCCAGGACCTGAAGAGGATGCGGCACTCCCAGTATTGGTAGAATGAGAGGTTACGTGGTAAACAGTTGGTATGGATAAATCTGAAATGTGTGTGTAGAGAGTTACCTCCTCAGTGAGTGCCGTGGCTGTTTGTCCAGAGTCCCGTGTGCTGATAGATGACTCACCTGGGCCAGAAGGGAATGGGTGACTTGCCATGTCAGTAGTATGGAATTTGTCAGGTGAAACTGTAGGATTTGGTGAATCAGAGAGGATTGTGGAGACCATGGATTCCACGGTAAAGGGCATACCTGATTGTCCATAACCAGAGGAGGTAATAAATGATTCACCAGGACTTGATGTGGACCCAGGACTCCCTTCCTCCTTGGTAAAGGTGGTTGCAGACGAGTCTGTGTGTTGAGACCATTCTGAGATGGGGCTGTGGCCTGTGGATTTCTGGGTGACTATAGTGGTCATCAATCCTGGGACCACCGGGCTAATAGATACTTCTCCAGGGCTCAAGGGGTCTGTAGAGCTCTCAGTGTCTGTGGTATGAAAAGCTTCAGAGATAACCGTTGATTTGGAAAAAGCAGTAAAGGTGCTATAGACAGTTGGCCCCTCAGTGGGAGTTAGGCTGGTTTGTTTAGAGACAGCATGGGTGGCCAAGACTTCACTGGGGCTTGATGGGGAAGCAGGACTTGATTTGTCTGTCCTATAGGAAAACTCAGTGGAAAACGCTGCAGTAGTTTTGTAGAAAGTGGATCCTTGAAGAAAGGACGTGGTCATTTGTCCATTATCACCTTTAGTGGTAAAGGAATCAATAGGATTTAATGTAGAAGGAGAAAATCCATCCTCCTTGGTAGTGGTACTGTCGGAATTAACTGTGTGTTTCGACAAACCAAGGGTGCCTGTGTACACTGTGGATTCCTCTGTGAAGGTTTCAGTTGTCTGTGCTGAGACAGTCGGAGTAGTAGACAGATGCCTCGAGCTTGAAGGGGAAGCAGCACTTCCAGCCTCTCTAGTATAAGAGCTTCCAGAGGGAGCAGTTGACTTGGACATTTCAGAGATGCTTGGGAAGACAGACGGAAATTCAGTAAAAGTTGTTGCATTGTGTCCGGTGGTCAGAGAAGTGGTGGAAAATACATCCAGACTTGAGCGAGTAGAAGAACTTAGATTCTGAGAAGATACTGTGTGTTTTGAGGACTCTGAGATGGTTGTGGAGACAAGAGGTTCCTCAGGAGTGGACATGGGCAGTGGTCCATCACCACTGGAGGTGGTAAAGGAGTCACCAAGGCTTGATACAAATGTACGACTTTTATTCCCTATTGTGGTTGCAGATGAGTCTGTGTATTGAGAATAATCAGAAATGGTGCTGTGGCCTGTGGATCTTGGGTTGACGCTACTGGTTGTCAATCCTAAGCCAACTGAGCTGGTAGAAGCCTCTCCAGGGCTTGATGAGGCTGTAGAATTCTCCATGCCTGTGGGATGAGAGCTGTAGGAAGAAACTGTGTATTGGGATGAAGTAGACACAGTGGTGTAGATGGTTGGCCCCTCTGTGAAAGTTGTGGTGGTGTGTTCAGAGGCCACAGTGGGGGTATACAGCTCACTGGGGCTTGATGGGGAAGCAGGACTTGCCTTGTCTGTGCTGTACGAAGGGTGGGCAGAAAACGGTGGTGTGGACACCTCTGAGGTGGTGGTGTAGAAAGTGAATCCTGGAGGAGAAGATGTGGTTGTCTGTCCATGACCACCTCCAGTGCTAAAGGATTTACCAGGCCTTGAGGGGGAGGCAGAAAATGCATCTTCCTTGGCGTCGGTGCTGTTGGAGGTAACAGTAGGTTTAGATGAACCAGGGGTGCCTGTATAGACAGTGGACCCCTCAGTTAGAGTTAGGCCTGTGGCTGTCTGTGCTGAAGCAGTAGGGGTGGTAGACAGCTGGCCAGGACCTGAAGGGGATGCAGCACTTCCATTATCCGTAGTAGAAGTGGCTCCTGAGGAAACAATTGGTTTGGATAATTTAAGACTGGCTATGAAGGCAGAAGGCAATTCAACAGAAGTTGTAGCACTATGGCTAATGCTCATCATTATGGTCGAAAACCCACTGGGGCTTGAGGCATTAGAATAACTTGTAGTGTAAGATGAGGCTACAGAATTTGACAATCCCAAAGTGGCTGAGGAAGTGGCTTCCACAGTAATGGCTGCACCTGCTGCTCCTTTACCAGAAATGGTAAAGGACTCGCTGTGACTCGATATGGACACATCATTGGTTGAGGTGTTTGGAGATGACACTGGGTTGAGGAAAATCAGTGATAAGGCTGTGGTCTGTGAATCTGTCAGAAATACATGTCTACACTTCTGCCCAATAGGCCTGCACATTCCTCCCCAGGCACACGGTGGCGTGTTCATTTACTTGGGCCTCTGGCATACATGCAAATGGACAGGTGTGTTCGCATAAATGTCCCATGCGCACTCCTTTCGCTCCTCACACTCTGTGGTTTGCAGACCGCACGCTCATCTGCCATCATTTGGCTGATACTTAGTCTGAAAGTCCTCCCCATCCTTCACATCTGAGACTCCCCTCTAGCAGCTACCACAGACCCAGGAGGAATAGGAGAGCCAAGGCCCCTTACCATGCACCATTCACTACCTGTCCTTTCTCTCTAGGGACACCTACACAAGGGCTATCTGCTTGGAAAACTGCCAGCTCTACGTGGCTGTCCTGTGGCCCCTCACAACCTGCCCAGGGGAGTGCCTTCTCCACCCTGGGTTCCACAGCTCACCCAGTAGACTAGAGTTGTCTAATAGTGAGAGTGCTGGCTTGCACCCTGGGACTGGAGGGCTTATTCTGTCTTTGTGCCACTTACAACATGTGACTGCATGCGTAAGACTCTTATTTTCCTACGTAGGGTGAGACTATGATCCCAGGCTCCTCTTTATCCTGACTTTGAGATGAGTAAGATCAAATATGGAAGGAATCTCCATGACAACAGTGCCATAAACCTAGGAGGCATTAGGAATTCTGCAGACTGGTGTACGGAGACTTCCTTGAGAAGGTGGGGCAAGTGGCCTCTTGTCCCTCCTGCCAGTCCCCTGCCCCTCCTCAAGGCCCTGAAGCTGTGCCTTTCTCACCTCTTAGAAGGATGGACCTTGGCCACTGGCAGAGGGAACCAAGAAGGCCATCAGAGCAGGGGCATCCTCCACTGTCCCAGACACCCCTATTTTCACAGGTCCTGACAGACACTCACAGAGAGAGGCCAGGTGCTAGACCAGGACTGGAGGCCAAGGTAAGCAGGGAGTGGACAGTTAGTCAAGACATGTCTCCCACATCGACTGTGGGTCTTTGGCTTTGCAGACCACCATCACAACATTAGGGGAAGAGTGCTATCAAATCGTTGGTTAATGCGGTACGTGTCAAAGGCGCAATAATGCCAAAGGTTCTTGGAATTCTAAATTAATGAGAAGATTGAAAAGATCTCTGGGTTGTTTTTAAGTCAGGAGATGTGTTTGTATTGCCCAACCCTCTTGCCTATGAGTTAGGTTTTATCTGATTCCACATGGAAGAAGCAGAGGAGCTGATCTGGGGAAGCTGTCAAGGCTGGAGGTAGGGGTACCCCTGAGTCGTGGGTATCAGGAGGATCAGTGAGACAGAGGGAGCACTCGGGGACCCCGGTCAACCCAAAGCAGAGGGTGGCAGAGCTCGGGGTAAACTAAACCCAGGCCTGGCAGTGGGACCTCAGAGCGCCTTCTCCTCTGTCTTGTCCTTCTCTGAAGTGAAGGGCCATTCTGCCCTCCTGGCCTCTGAGGGCACCTCCTCCACTTGCCCTCAGAAGCCCCCTCTATCTCACTGAGAGGCAACCACAGCCCCCAGCCTCCCTGCCTCCCTGTGCCCACAGGAAAACTACTTCTCAGCTCTGCAGCCCTACTGTCTAGACTTTCAGTCAGCAAGCAGTTACTTGTGACTGTCAGGACCACGCCAGCCCCCACCCAGCATGGGGGCTCATGGCCCCCCACCCAGTGCAATGCCGACAGAGTCCCAGCCCAGTGAAGGGGAATTGAGAGCCGACAGCCCCTCTGCCTTTCTTGTCAAGGAAGCCTTCAGAAAGAAAGTAATAACTGATCTGTCATTTTCTTTTTTTCTTTAAAAAAAAGTTTTATGGATTTAGGCATTATAAATTTTACTGGATTTTGTAAGTTATAAAAGCAGACTGTTGTTACAGGTCAAACAATGAGAGAGCATGTAAAGGCAGTTTATGATCACATCCCTAACTGAATCACAAAGAATGAACAGGGGTGGGGAGAGGTGGCATTTACTGGCTGCCTATCAGGTTCCCCGACTAGCCCCATCACAACTGTAACTCACTGCTTGTGTTTGGAATTGCGTGGCAACGCCTGTGCCCCTCGCGGAACGTAGAGAAGCTGGGTGAAAGTGGAGAGCATTCCCGCCCTGCTCAGCATGACCCAGAGCAGGCACTCCGTGAGCACTTCTGAAGTGCATAAGTGAATCAATACTGAAGTCTATTGACGCTTTTTCTTGGTTATTTAATGTTATCTTGTGAGGCAGACATGAATATTTCTGTTCTACACATAAACCAAGGTTCTGAGGATTACATGCATTGCTGGTTCACCCACCTGGTGAGATAGGATTCAAGGACAAGCCAAGAGTGGCTTTTCCTCTTAGCTCAAGGGAAGGATTTGGAGAATAGAGGAGAGGAAGGGAAGGTTTCAAGCCGAGGGAACAGCACATGTAGAAACACAGGAGTGCATGTTTGGGGCAGAGTAAGACACTGAGTGGGGAGTGGGGGCAGAGGGAAGGCGGGTAAAGCCAGTGTGAAGCCAGCTCTGTCTGGACTTGACCAAGCAGCAGAGAAGGGCAGAGAAGGGCAAAAGGCTGTGGTCCCAACTGGGCCTTAGAAGCAGAACCCTGCAGTGAAGGGGCAGCAAGGCCCAGGTGGGAAGGCTGATGAGAGCAGAGCAGGGACACGGTAAGCCCCAGAGAAGGCCAGGACATCTGTTGAATGGACCCTGGACATCTGCCCTCTTTTCTCTTTATTCCTGGGCTCACGGCATTTACTCCACTCTGTTGCCATTCGATCTGCCCTTAAACATTCACTTCTCTGCTATAGTCACCTCTCAGGGCACTCCATGAGCTCCAAGTGCCCTGTTCCTGTCCATCTCAGCAGGCTGCCTTCCTCCTGGAATCTCTCACTTCCTTCAGGTTCCAAGATAACAGCATGTCCTCCTCACCCTTCTCCCAGCTCCTGCTGCTGTTCCCTGCTCACTGTCTAAGTGGGACCCCCAGCATAAAAGCTTGGCCACATCTCTCACCCTCCCAAAAGACAACCCGCTCTGTGCCCACGGCTTTCACTCCCTCCCAGGTGCCCTGAACAGAGCTTCAGACCTCTCCCAGCCCAGGACTCTGGTGAAAGTGGTGTCCCCAAAGGATGTGGCAGAAGATGAGGTTGTCCTTCCCAAAGACATTCCCGAGGGTCAAGGATATTCCACTAGGGAGCTGAGCAAAGGGAAAACACAGACATTCTCCAAGGAAAGAAACTCAAATGGCCCACAAGCCTACAAGAAGGAAAAAGTAAATAAATTTTACTAGTAAGCAAAGAGATCTAAACAAAGCAAGATCCTATTTATTTTTCCCTATCAAATTGCATGCCCTCCATGAGGTTAGATGATAGTAATAGTTGGTATTGGTTGGGGCATTCTTACAGGATGTCAATGTGTGTTAACTTGGCATCATATTTCTAAAGGATAATTTGCCAGTGTGCATCAGGGACCATAAGTAGAGTCATTTGATTTTAATGATTCCATTTCTAGATACTGCTCCTAAAATAATCTGATGCAGTTTTTAAAATATTTGTACAATAATGTTTATTACATCATTGTATATTATAATAAAAACTGGTTGATGACTAGGTATTCCACAAACTGGTTGATGACTAGGTATTCCACAGAATGGAATACTGATTAGCCATTAAAATATAAATGGCCCATAGAATAAATCTAAATACATATTCAGAAATAGACCAAAACTTTAACAACGTTTACCCGAGAGGTAAGGTTCAGCAAGACTTTCTTCCTTTTGTTTATATTTTCTAAATGTTCTACAACTAATATGCACTCATGTTACAATGTTCAAAACACAATAAATGGATATGATATTAAAAATAACAAGTTAGGCGTGTCCAATACCTTGCAGAACCCAGAGGAAACCACTTAGAGTTAATGATTCCCGAGCTGGGATTCCCCACACCCTTGTGTCAAAAAGCTTAACAAAAATGACTTGTCTGCCTGCGTTATAGCCACACTCGCCACCAGAGACACCAGCTCTCCTACTCAACAGGCAAAATTTTCTACTTTCTTGACCTGTTTACAGTTTTTATTGCATTGTCACAATACATGTATTTAGATTTTTCGTAAAAAGATAATCATTTGAGTAAAGCAGCCTTCTTGGAGACAAGTCCTAGAAAGAACCTCAGGACAAGTCTGAAGACTGTCATCACGTTATGAAACTGTCCCCTTCCCTTGCCCCCTGCCCCCTCCAAAGCACATTTCTGCTTGCGGTGACCTCAGTCAGATGGCTTGGCAGGAACAGCCCTGAAGCGTGGGGTGCGGAGTGACGGTCAGGGTATGCCTCCAGGACCTTCGGCAGTTAATCTCTCTGACCTTTCATTTCCCCCTGGATCATGGGGGCGAATGATGGCTGCCCTGACCACCCTGCTTACTCTAGAATATTCTACAAGAGAAGCAGTGTGGGGGCCACTGGGATGTGCATCGGTCTCCCAGTCCTGAGTGCGCCTTCAGCCCTGCCACCCACAGGCTGTCTCCACTGCAAGCTAGTCCCCCATGGCACAGCTGCCTTAGGGACGAGATCAGGCCAGGGCCTCCTTGGCTCTTTCCCCTTCCCGCTGCACACACCCGAGGCAAGTGAATGTGCTTCCCGGCTTCCTAGCGCCAGCACTGTGCCCCCGCCCCTGCCCACTGCCTCCCTGAAGACAGAGCAGTTGGTCTGGTTGCTGCACAAGCATGGTATAGTGACTGGACTGTGTCTCCCCAAAGATACATCCAAGTCCTAACCCTGGGGGACTATGGCTTTATTTGGAAATAGGTTCTCTGTATATGTAGTTAAGAATCTCAAGTTCAGATCATCCTGGATTTAGGGTGGGCCTAAATCCAAATACCAGGGTCTTCATAAGAGAAAGGAGAGGGAGATTTAGACACAAAGGAAAGAAGACCATTTGGTGGCTGAACAGAGACCGCAGCTCTCACCTCCAAGGAACACCAGGGGCCACCAGAGGCCAGAAGAGGCAAGGTAGGATCCTCCCCTCAAGCCTTTGGAGGGACAGGGCCCTGATGATACTTCATTCCCAACCTCTGGCCTCCCCAGATGTCACAGATGATATTTCTGGTGTTTGAAGCCACCATGTCTGTGGTAACTTTTTGCAGCCATCCTAGGAAACTAAACACATGGGCACCCCCAGTTACAGCAAGTGGTAAAGAATGGGGGCCCTGGAGCCAGACAGCTTGAGTTCACATCCTGGCTCCTCCACCTGATGGATGGGAAACCCTGAACAAGGCATTTAACCTCTCTGTGCCTCAGTTTCCTCACCCATAAAACCGAAATCAGTAATAGCATTTTCCTCCCAGGGTTGTTGGGAAAGTTAAATGACATACATCATAGATATCATTCTAGAACATAGAGCAGACCCTCAATGGACATGGCCACCTTGATTATTAATATAATACCCAGACTACAGGGCAGTGTGCTTTCCCAACTTGCTGTCCCCAGGGAATCTTTCTATTGGTATTCTAATGCTCTCCATAGCTGTTGTGGCATGTCAGTTCTGAATTTGTCTAAGGCTTTTGAGTATCTGTTAACACTTCCTTCCAGAACTACTTCTTAACAGCTGCGAAACTCCAATGCCACATCTCTCCCTGCAGCCTCCCTGATCGGCTTGGGCAGAAGCTACCTCTGCGGCCCCCCTCTGCACTCTTCCACACTGGGCCCTTCTCTGGAGCCCCAGCACCAGACATGGGTTGTGGTTCTTTTTGCCCAGTCTAATAAACTCGACTATAAACTGGCTTAATCATCCTGCCTCTTCCAGAGCACACAGCACCTGCCCAGGCAGAGCCAGGCCTCCTGTGTTTGCTGAATGAGTAAGTTTATTACTTTCTGTATAAAACAGCACTTCCTTCTAAATGTTCTAAATTTACATCACTCAAGTTTCAAAGGTTGCCCCTTTGTCTACTGTGAACAATTCTCTTCTCACCTTCACCCACTCTTCCTGATTCTGTACTTGAGCATTTTCACCCTTCTGGGTCGCAGAGCTCTGACCCTCGAGGCTCCTGCCCCACCCCTCCAGGACCGACACTTCAGCCCTGTCCCCACGTCCATCCTCAGGAGCTCCCCTCCTCCAGCCTTCCTATGAGCACTTGGAACTTCACATGCACAAAACAGGGTACAGGCTCCCATACTAGTGCTGATCCCCAGCCCTGGCAGGTCTTTGTGGCCCACGGAGAATTCTAGACTGTGTCCTATTCCTGTCGTCTCCTCAAGCCTTAGGCCTCAGGACATCTCCACCGGGAAACTCCATGGTCACTCCAAACCCAATAGGCCTGCCTAAAGGCCACTGTCAGCCACCACTGAAAGACTCCCGCCCTCCCAGTCATACAGGCTGGAAGACGGTCTATTTCCATGACCCCAGCCCACCATCAAGTTACCCTTCCTCTCCATTTCCAGGAGCACTGGGCTCCCCATCTACCCAGGCTCAGCCCAAAGAGGTCCTCTGGTGTCGAAGACCTTCCACTTGGCTTTAATGCGCCTGTTGCCCACAGACACTCTCCATCACTGTGTTTTCCCCACCGAACTCCATGCCCATGCACACCAGGCCCACGCGCCCTCCCCTTCCAGCGCTTTCTGACACCTGGGACCCTGCACGCCATGCTAGTGTTTTTCCTACCTTCTCACGCTGGTGGTATTCCTTCTCCCTACTGTTTGCTTGGCCAAAACCTCATCAGTCCTCATGATGAACTGTGGCCTCCAGAAAAGAAGCCAGATTAGAAACAAAGAAAACTACAGATGCCACTGGTGGTCTCTAACCTGACATCTGCACCCCTCCCTGAAGACCCAGAATATATGCAGGGGGTGTGGGGGTTTGCAGAGGGCTGAGGTCCTCCAGTGCAGTAACAGGGCACCTAGTATCAAATGGGTGAGGTCATGTTAATTGTTTGCTCTATTGCCCCAGGGAAGTCACTCACCCTCTCTGAGCCCCAGTTTCCTATCTGCTTTCCCTTCCTTACACAACCTTCCTTGTGAGAGTCATACGAGCTTATGTGCTGTGAAACGGCTTTGTAAACAGCACAGCCTTCTGCTGAGTGGGGATAGGGGGGTGGTCTCTGGGTATCATCGGAGTCCCCCCAAATGGTCCTACTTGCCTGACCTCCCCACTCCTGATGGCTCGCTCCACTTACCAGAGATAGATGCTGTCTCTTTTGCATGCTAATGGATTCACCTGTGTCAACGCTATCTTTTCCATACAATTTTACATGCCTTAGGAACAGGGGTCTTGCCTGTATCGGTGACCATCTCTAATGCATGGCAGGGCACTCAAAGGCAATACACTGCTAACTGTTGGGTTCTTCACCATTTTCACCACCACCACCACCATCCCTCTCCTCAGATAACCCAGCCAGAGACAGGCCTGGGGTCGGCCTGGGGAGCAGGGACCTCAAGGGCCCCTCCTGAGGTTGACTCCCACACATAGCTTCCTGCTTTCCATATGTCAGTTTAAAGCTAATATATCCAGAATTAATGTATGTTCACAGTGTCCCAAAATCCACAGTTCACCCCTAGCCCTGATCCTCAGCAATTCCCAGCCTGCACTGCAGTGTCCCTATCATGACATGTGTGCTGAGGTGGATCTGAGGGGTTCTCAGAACTTGCTGCCTGTGTTAGGTCACAGCCACCTGCAGAGTGCCAGAGCCCCCCTACCCTGCTTGCCCTGCCCACTCACACCTCTCCCCCAAACACCCAGGCCTCTCAACTCAAGAGCTACCTCTGCCCCCTGGGGCCTTGTGCTTGCTCCCCAAGTGTTCCTTGCCCAGCATCTGCCCTGCCCACCCCTTCCCTGGGGCTCTTCCCTGTCAGAGCAGAAAGTCTATTCTACATGAGGGAACGCACAGGAAATCACTTCCCAGATGTATGGCCATGACAAGGCCCAGCAAGGATCCCAAAGCCTGTGTCTCCCCCTCAGTCCTTCAGCCATTTCCAACTGGGGGGCTTTCCCAGGCACCCCTGAGCTCTCCCCCAAGCAAGGGGGAAGCTGCTGGCTGCACACAGACTCCCCTCCTCCTGTACAGTGCCTCCGTGGAGTTTGGGAAGACCTGGCCCTCTGGGCAGATGCAGCCTGAAGGATGAGGGCAAGCAGAGACCCGTGTCTAGGTCAAGAAAAGGCCTGCATCTCCCCCAGGAAGCCTGGAGAGCAGAGGGGATGCTTGCCAGCCCCCATTCAGCCCCTGGGCCAGGAGCTCCATCAACAGCACAACCACAGGCCATGGGCACCTGCAGGTCTCCAGGGTGACCCCTTTAGCAGGATGAGGTCACAGCCCTGCTGTCCAGCCCTTTGGCAGCCCCCTCCCTGCAAAGGGAAAGAGCAGGGAAGAAGAGAGGCCAGCACATGCCCCTGGTCACTGGGGAGTGCAAGGCCAGTTCTCACTCACCCTCTGACGATATTACTGTTGTGGCAGTTGCCCAGAACCAGACAGCCAGTGGCAGGATCCAGATCACCAGCATCTCCTGAAGAGTGGGGCCCTGGCCACAGGGCCTTCCCTCGCCAGGAGGGACTAAGAAATGAGAGCTCCCAGGGAGGAATCAACTATTAAAAGGACCCCGGGGAGACCTTTGCCTTGGGGAAGAATGACATCTGGCCCAGGGAAGGGGTGCGGTGATGATGCTGGGTGGGTGGTGCGTGGTGACCACAGGGAGTTGGCCAAAGGGCAGTCTGTCAACCCTCCTCCCCTCTACCTCCTGGAGAGCTGACTGCCCAGAGTCAGGGTCCCTCCAGTGGAAGCCAGAGTCACAGGTTGGGCAGGGCAAGAGGGAGGGACAGGAGGCCAGAGGTGTGAGAGTATGTGACATGCGCCAGGAGGCATGGGTCAAGAAGTGCCAGGGAGGGGGGACTATGGAGGGTGGGGCAGCAGAACCCCAAAAGGAGCAGCCAGGCTGAGTGAAGGGCCCACACCCCCACCCCTGAGAAGCCCCCCTTTCTCCCAGTCTTCCCTTGCATCCACCTCAAGCTGGTCCATTCCAAACGTCCAGGACCTTCCCCCGGGGCTCCAACCACCAGCCCATCTCTCGGGTCCAGCTCCCATTCACACCTGAGGCTTTATGGTCCTCTTCTCCCCTCGCCCAGTCATGTCCCTCTCCTGTCTATGGCAAAGGCCCCAGAGCTCTCCCCAAAACCCCCACCCAAGGAACCTGCTCCACCAACCCAACCACCCTCTGCTTCAGTCCAGCAGGCCTGGCTGCCCCCAGAGTGGGAACAGGAGGGCACAAGCCCCAGGCCTGGGGTGAATGTGTCTGCCACCCAGGCTTGGGGGGGCTCAAGGTCTCTGTGGAGGCCCAGCTCTTCTCATCACCACAAATGGTAGCTGACCCACCTGGGCCATCCACCTCCCTGAAGCCCTGAGCTCCAGACATCAAGGGAGGCCCCCACCTGCTGCTGCTAAGGAAGCACCTCCACCCCCACCAGCTTCCTAAGAAAATAAAGTACCCCGTTTTTATGTTCTTTAAAAGGACAGTCAGGGGCCCTGGGAGCTGCCCACAGACCCCTTCCTTCCCCTGTGGGACAAAGGTGCTCTCAGGTCCTCTTACACTGTTTTCTCCCTGGGGCTGAGGAAGTCCCTGTTCTCCAACCAAGAGGGGCCAAACGATGAGAAGGAGAAAGACACAGAGGAGCTTCTTTTATAATAAATGTTACATTGTGTTCACATGAGAGAATTGGAGACACACAGGCTTCCTGTCCCCAGATGAGAGCTTCCTGCAAAAGGGAGCTGGGAGCTTCTGGCCTCAGAGGTTCCTGCGGGGATGCACGCAGGGCCAGGGAGGGGAAGGGGGAGGAGGAGCGGGGAAGTGCAGGGGGGTGCAGTAAGGGAAGGGGAGGACGAGGAGGAGGGACCCAGGGAGCTTCCTCACCTCAGGGCCCCACTTCTCCTCATCCGTGGGGACTGGAGGAAACCCACGTCCCACCCTCACCCATGTCCCACCCCCATCCAAGGGGACCAGGGCCCTTGGGACAACAGGAAGGGATGGAGCCTCAGAATGGGGGCCAGGGTATGGGAAGCAGCGGTTGGGAGTTCCAAGAGGCAGAGAGGGCATCTGCACCTAACTAGGGGCTGGGGAGCTGGGGGAGGAGGGAAGATTTGGGATGGGGGCACTGGGGTCAGGGGGCTAAGGGTTTATTTTAGGGTTGAGGGTTGCTGAGGAAGGGGACAATAGGAAACCGGGGGAGGTGCAGGGTGGGGCCCTGGGGTGTGGGGGAGGAATGGGTTCAGAGGGTTTAAGTACTGGGAGTCAGCTGAGCAGCAGGGTTTCCATAGAGGCCGGCAGAGGTAGGAGGGGCTGCAGGCTGGCCACAGGTGCGGGTGGGGAGCAGGCAGTAGGGGTGCTCAAGGAGAGCAGAGGCTGAGGTCTGAGACCAGAGGGGGTTTGTGGAGTGGGGATGAGAGAGAGCATGTAAGCACAGGGAAAGCGTGAAGGGAGAGAGATCTGACAGAGCACATGGGTTTGACAATCACTGGAGGAGGATGCTATACTCATTTTACAGGTTCAGAGAAGTTACTGACTCCCCCAAGGTCCCACTGTAGAAAACCCTAGATTTGAACTGGATCTCCAGTTAGGTTTCACACAAGTTGGGAGAAGGATGGGGGTCAGGGGATGGTCTGATTTTGCCCAAGAAAACCAGTAAATGGAGGCGCTCCAGTCTTGAGGCTCTCTTGGAACTGTCACCGCGTGGAGGGTTCCATCCTGCTGGCGGGGCAGGTGAAGGGCTCACAGCGAGGTCAAGACCACCTCAGGTCTCTGGATATGCACCTGCCAAGGGTGTGAGCGGGAGTGAGAACAGGGAGACCCCTGACTGGCAGACTGGGAGGTCACCGCCTGCTGGTCCTGGCCCAGGCCTCTGCCCCAGGGGGTTGGAGGCATCTGGAGCCGGACCTGGGAGAATCCCCCTCTTATCCTCTCACCTTCATATTGGTGTCTATGTCCCCCAAGGCCACCTGCAAGTCTTCATACTTGACTAGAAAGAAGAGGAGAGAGGCAGGGAGGAGAAAGGGTGGAAAGGAGGCTGAGAAAGGCAGGGCCTTGTGTATGACCTGGGCTTCCACAGGAGGGGCACCGGGACGTAGCGACAAGCGCCCTGGCACGAGGTATGTGTCCTTCCTGCGCCAGAGAGGTCGTCCTGCTCTGCCCAGGCCCGAGGGGTGCCCAGAGAATCCCCCGCGCCCTTCCCAGGAGGCGGGACTCACCTGTTGAATAGTCCTCGAAGCCCACGTTTGAAAAAGTTCCCACGGTGTCCTCATCCCAGACCTCAAACCATTTCCTGTCGTCGTCCCAGGACCTGGGTGGGGAGTCGCGCGGTCAGGCGGGGCCATCGGTCGGAGACCCCTTTGCCGCCCCCGCCCCCGCGAGCGCGCTTACCGGCCTACGCCTCGGCTGCTCCTCCGCGAGCGCGCGAAGAAGACGCTCAGCCCCGCCAGCAGCAGCCCCAGCGCCGCGGCCCCAGCCAGGCCGCCGACCAGAGCCTTCCAGCGGACGGCCACCTCACAGCGCGGGCCCGAGAACCAGTGCGTGTCCGTGGAGAAGCAGCTGCAGGGGAGCCACAGGTCACCGACCCTTCCCTCCGCGGCCCTGCGCTCGGGACCGGGCCCGGATCTGCGGGTGGGCGGGGCTCGGGCGGGGCCGCCCGATCCGCCCTCGGGCTGTGGGCGGGGCCTCACCGGCAGGCGGGACCGCTCTTCTCCAAAATGCACTGGCCCTGGCCCTGGTGACAGTCGATGGCGCCCTCCACGCCCGACGTGCATTTAGTGACGCAGCGGAGCCTGTTACCCTCGTCCAGGGGGAAGTAGAAATCTTCATAGCCTTTGGCAGCGACTCGGCGACAGATGGCTGGGGTAGGAAGGGGGTTGCCAAGAGACAGAAGCACCTCATCCACTCTACTCAGGGATCTGGTTATAATGACTCTGAAAATGGACCCGGAGGACTATATTTCCTAGGGTGGCGTGTCATGGGGTAGATCCTAGGATTGGCTAAGGGAAGGGCAGGCCTGGTGGGAGTCCCTGGTGGGAGGGGGTCATGCATCCTGGGGCCACTCGACCCTTTGCCCCACCCTCACCTGTCGGGGTCAGCTCCGTGCTAGTGTTGTTGTTCACCTTGATGGAGCCAGGCTTAAAACACAGGGCTGGAGAGACAGAGGCAGAGGTGAAATCAGGGGAGGTCAAGGGGCCAGGGAAGCAGGACAGGCACGGAGAGAGGTGGAAAGAGCTGTCAGTATGGGGGATGTGTGGAGGGGCCACAAGGGAAGGCTTCTTTTGGCTCCCTCATCTCCCCCAAATAATCAGGGGTCCTCAGCCATCCTGTTAGGAGGTCTCTTCCCCAGCACCCAGGTTCTGGTAAGCCCCTCCTTGGCCCCAGTGGCTGTGGACCTACGCCACTTCTCCCAACCTGCCAGAAGTACCACAAGGCTGGCACCTGAGCCTAGAAGGCCCCTGTCTGAGCTGTGCTCCAGATGGTGCTCTGGGGTGGTGGCTCTGACCCAGACCCCTCCCTCCAGCCCAAGGTCCCCAGCCTTGACTCACTCTGGTCGTTCTGGCAGCTTCCCCCATCCTGGTTGACACTCTGGAACTCATCCTTTAGGACTGTCTTCACCTTCTCATACTCGCTCTCCAGCTGGGAGCTGAAAGGCAGCTCCACCAGGACCAGATAGTCCACCACGATGCTGCCGTTCCTAAAGGGCCAAGGGTCCTTAAAGAGTGCCCAGGCCTGGGGCACACACGTCTTTAGAAGAGGACCTCCAGGACCAACAACGAATGCACAGGTGTTGGAGGGAAGGGATCAAAAACAATGAGTTGGAATTCCAGATACATTATTTTCGGAAGAGACTGCCAGCATCCCTGACTTGGCCAGCCTGGGATGGTGGGACAAGGAATGATTGACATTCTCTTGCATGGTATCCAGCCATTACCAAACCAGGCCCTTCTGCACTCTCTGCCTCACTCATGCTGACCACTCAGCAGACCAGGCACCAGCTAGAGAGAGACAGCTCCAGTCCAGACAGCAGGCTTTCCACCCACCCCCTTCACCACCTCCCTGCATGTCCCATGGAATGTCTCTCCTTCCAGTATGTTTAAAGGTGGGGGGTAGGAGGCATCCCTCCTAGAGAGACCTGACTCCAGAAAATTATGGCAAAATCCCCCACAGAGTGATTTCCTTACATCCTCCCTCCACCCCTCTCTAAAGTCTGATGATTCCAAAAGCAAGGGATGGCTTCCGCAGCCTTTCTTCATCCCCCCTTCCTCCACCTAACACTGCCTCCACAGCCCCAGAAGGGTCCCCTACCTCAGGGACAGGATCTTCACATCCTTGAACTCCTGCACATTTTTGTAAACCTCCTTCACCTGAAATGCCAAGGATCCTTGGGCTTACGTCTGAACCTCCAGACTTGAGGGCACCCAAGGGCCCATGCTCAGCTCCAGGGGTGGAGCCTTGGCTTTCCACCCTTACCCCTCACCTGGTCCCGGAAGGAACTGATGAAGTTCTTGTAGACTGTGGAAGTGTTGTCATTGAGGTCTGCAGAGAACTCCTGGTCAACAGACACCTCCATGCCCACTTCAGCATCCACGGTCTCTGCACACAGCAGACCCCGCTGTGGTCACTTCCCCATCACTCCTGTCTGACACCACCACCACCATCAACACTCAGACCCAGAAGCTCCTCTTGTGGCCCTCTCCATATCCCCCAAGGACCAACTGAACAGCAGGAAGGATTGAGGTAAGAATTCTGGCATGAGTTGTCCTGAGATGATGGAAAAAATGGAAGTCAGGATGCACAATGCTAAGGCCTGTGCTGTCTCCTTTGTCTGCTCTAGTGGGTGGCAGAATAATGGCCCCCAACAATGCTTACATCCTAATCTCCAGAACCTGTGGATATGTTATACCACCTGGCAAGGAGGAAATCAATGTTGCAGATAGAATTAAGATTGCTAATCATCTGACTTTATATAGGGAAATAAACATGGATTCTCTGGGTGGCACCAATGCAATCACAAGGTCTTTAAAAGTGGAAAAGAGAGATGGGAGAGGTCAGAATCAGTCAGAGGAAGATGTGACTGTGGAAGAAAGGCACAGAGATGCAATGCTGCTGGTTTGAAGATGGAGAGGGGACCTGGAGACTAGGAATGCAGAAGGCTCCAGAACCTGGAAAGAGCAAGGAAATAGATTCTCTCCCTAGAGCCTCCAGAAAGGAACACAGCCCTGCTGACTCCTTGATTTTTCCCAGTAAGAGCCATGTCAGACTTTTGATCTACAGAATTGAAAGACGTTAAATTTGCTTTGTTTCAGCTGCTAAGGTTGTGATAATTTGTCAGAGCAGGAATTAGAAACTAATACAGCTCCAAGCAGCCCAGACCAGGAGGAGGACCCAGTCATCTCCTAAAGGTGATGGTGGATAGGAGACATGATACTGAGTAAGGAGGGCATGAGAGGGAAGACAGGGATGGAGGGATTGGGAAAAATGGCAGGGTGCCTCCATGCCAGCCACAGAGCAAAGCCCAAGAAGAGTCAGTGGCATCTCCCAGGATAAAGTAGAAGGTAACTCACCCAAATCCACCTGTTCTACAGCAAACTCACAACGGGAGCCATAGAAGGCACTGGGACAGTGACACTTGAGGCCATCCCAGGTACCCTCATTCTGGCACCAGATCTCCTGGAGCTCACAGCGGTACCCAGAGAACCCCGAGGGGCAGAGGCAGCGGCCCTGCATCCAAGTGCCACCATTGTCACAGGTGCCTGTGCAGCAAAGGAAGACAGAGCTTCAGGATAGGGCCTGACCTTGGTGGCATGGAAACTGAGCAGAGCAGGAGGACAAGGAACAGGGAGGTGGGAAGTCCAACCTGGGGTGCTGGTCAAATTAGACTTTGTGGTCATCTGAGTAGTGGTCAAAGTTCTCATGGGCGATGTAAGGATGGCAGGAGTCTGAGTGGTAATCGCTGCTGTTTCTGGAGTCCTGGTTGTGGCTGAGGTGGGGTAGGTCACCTCGCTTGAAGTCATCATGGCAGTTGTAAAGCTGCTGCTTGGTTCTGTGGTCGGTGGGAGACTTGTAGAGCCAGGTATATGTGGGGTGGTGGCAGAGTTGGTGCTCATCCAGGTTCTACTGGTGGGTCTTTGTGTGCTTGTCAAAATTGTGTTAATTGGGATAGTCCCAGGGCTGATAGAACTAAAGGCATTGGTTATGACATTGGTGGGCCCACTTTCAACAACTGAAGTAGAAGTGTCCATATTTGTAGGAAAGGCAGTTGTCATACTGGTGAAACTAGGCAAGGTGGCCATCTCAGTAGTAGAGGTAAATATTGATATTGGGATGGTAGCTCTAGAAGTAATTTCACTACTTGGACCCATTTCAATGCATGGAGTAGTTGGGGAAGTGGGCACTATTGTAACTGGTATAGATTCTGGACATGGGACAGTAGAAGAAAGAACAAAAGATGGGGTTGTTTTACTAATAGGAACCATTACAGAAGACGTGGTTGGAGAAGTACTTGAAGTTTCAGATAAAGGAATAGTAAAAGCACTGACAGAAGACTCTGTGTTTTCTCTACTGGAGTTCGATGGAGAGGTAGGAGAAGATTTAGTTATAGAAGTGACCACTGAATGTACACTGGAGGAAGAGAGGGTTGAAGACAGTGTGAGAGTAGATATTGAAGAGGAGATAATGGTAACAAAAGAAGAGGTCAGTGCAGTTGTAGAAGTACTCAACATAGGAAAAGACGGCAGTTGAGAAACACCTGATGTTGTGGGGTTGCCTATGGTTACCAATGGTGTGTTAGGAGGGGTGGTAGTGTCTGTACGGAGGGGACTGGACAAAGTGGCTGTGGTTGAGGTGGCAAGCACTGAAGTTTGGGTAGAGGTGCTGATTTCAGTAATGGTTGTACTGATGGTACTAGTGGGAGCAGAAGAGGTGGATGAGGAATAAGTGGGAAGTGTGGTAGTCAAGATAGACATAAGAGAGGTGTTAGTGGTCAACATGGAGAGTGGTTCTGTGCTTGAAGCAGGGGTAGAAGACAGATATGTACTAGTGAGTGAAGTCACTGGGGTGACATCAAACGTAGTGATCAATGGACCTTTGGTAGACATGGGTGGGGTGGTGGTGGTTTTTGCTGTTGTGGTTAGCATGGGTATGCTAACAGAGGACAGGGCACTGTTGGTGGTTGTCTCCAGGATACCAGATGTAAGGAGAGTTGCATTTGTGTTGGTTGTGGTTGTACTCTGTGTAGAGTAGATTTCGGAAGTAGTGACCACTGGTGTCATATGTGGTGTGGTTGGCGTGGGTGTTGTTACGAGGGATGTGGTAGCAGTCGTGACCGTGTCTGTAGTAGGGTGAATGAGCGAAGTGAGTGTGGTCGAGGTGTCAAAAGTTGAGGTGTATACTGGGGTGGTGATATCAGTGGTGCCTGTGGTGAAGGTTACAGTGGGAACTGCAGGGGTGGATGAAGCGTGAGAGGTGTGGGGTGAGGTAGTCAGGGTGGTCAGAGTGGTAGTGGTAGTAGTCAGTGTGGACAGTGATTCTGTGGTTGGGGCAGGGGTAGAAGACGGATGCCTGTGTGATGATAAACGGGTAGTGGTCACTGGAGAAGTGTGGGTAGCTGTGAGAGTGACTGATGTTGTGGTCGGGAGAGTAGGAGAAATCTCTGTCATGACAGAATTTGTAGACACGTCACGGGTCGGAGCAAGTGTGGTTTTCCAGGTGGATGTGGTGTGAGTGGGTGTGACGGCCGTCTCCACTCGTCCTGTGGTGGCTGCAGTAGAGGAGGGTGTTCCCATGGTGGTGGATGTCATGTCTATGGAGGTGGGAGTGGATGCCACGTGGGATTCAGTGGTTGAGTGCCGGGTTTGTGTGCTCATCACAGACGAAGTGGTCCTCTCTGTGCCAGTGGTGCTGGGACTGCTTGTGGATGTGGAAGAGGGGCCTGAAGAGGTACCGGGGATGCTTGTCGGGACAGAGGGAGTTGGAGTGCTGTGGTAAGTTGTGAGCATGGGTGTCATGGTAGGTGTCGTGGCCACGGTCGTGATGGCACTGGATGTTGTGCCTGTAACTTGAATGGTCGGGGACGATGGGATGGTTGCTCTCGTGGTCAAAGCAGTGGGCCTGGAGGTAGGATTGATCGTGGTGGTCAGTGGACCTGTCGAAACCCTAGGTTGGGTCGTTGTCATTGTCAGTGTTGTTATAGGCATGCCCGTAGTAACAGTGGATTGAGTGGACATATGGCTTGTGTGGACTGTCTCACTGGATTGTTTTTTTGTGGTGGGGGCTGTGGTAGAAGACACGCGCATACTCGTGGTGTAGGACCATGAGGTTGGTGTCTTGCAGGTGGTGGTGGGGTAAGTAGTGGTGATTATCAAGCTCGTTGGATTGATGCACTCTGTGGTGCTCATGTACATTATGAGTGTAGGTGGGCTGGTTCCAACCTTTATGACAATTTTGGATATTGGACTTGCTGAGGAACTGGAATTGTTTGTAGTTTTGAGCAGGGTTTCAGAAAGGGGTTCAAACTGGGGAGATGTGAGGGGCTTCTGAGGTGTGTTTCTCCTGCTACCTGGAGTGGGAGGAGTGATTTGGGAGATGCTGAGTGGCCACCCTGCTCTGCCTCTGGAGACTGTGGGGTTGCCAGGCGCTGTGGCTGCATCTGCACTGAGGAAAAGCCCAGCAGGGATGGACATGGCCAAGGATAAAGCTCCTGTATTAGTGATAGAACAGAGGAATTCATTTGTTGGTTGTTTTGTCTCCATAACCCTACATAGAGTTTTCACTACCCCATTTTCCAGACACATGTCATAGAAGGTAGGAAGCTCAGTTGCTTATTCTCCCATAAGAGGAAGGTTGGGGCTGGGTCCTTTCAGGATCTGAAGCAACATCTGGACACCCCAGGCAGCCTCGCCCCACCTGCCTCCTGCGGTGTCACTGCTCCAGCCTTGGAGGACTGTGTGCACACCGGTTCAGCTGAGGCTCCTGCCTCTCCCTCGTCAGCCCCATCCCTCCTCTCACAGCCCCATTTCCCTGCCGCTTCCTCTCCCCCACCGGCTGCCCAAAGTCCTCACCTGGCTGCCCTCTGCACCTACCCCTGGCCAACCTCTGCTCTCCTCCCTGTGACCCACTGCTGTGCCGGCTGTCTCTCCTCTCAGAGAGAAAGAACCCAGCCAAGGCTGGGTGGGGGTGGGGACACATCGTGGATTCCAGGAGACAAGGGTGAGAGAACTGCGAAGGGAATCGAGCTCAGAGTCCTTTGAGATTAAGGTTCAAGGAGAGGGAACCACACTGACAGGTAGAGGGGCAGGATGGAGAAGGAAACTTCCAGAAAGAGGATGCCTCAGCAGGCAGGCGTTATTCCCAGACTTCAGGCTTAGCAGTCAGTGCTAATAATAAAAACAGATGTGTTTGCCATCATCTTCTCTCTTTTGGCCTCTGGTTAATTCGTTCACAAGTATGAACCCCGTTTTAGGGGATTGCGGACTCATGTGGCCACGGCACTTGCAGCTGGAAGTGCCCAAACCACCTGTCCTGTCAGCATTAGCCTCCTCCTCACCTCAGACCTGAGACACCTTGGTCTGAGATCCGGGATTTCAGTTCTCAGTCTAGCAGGGTGGTAATTTGGTAAGAGAGTGGTGCGGGATTATGAAGATTCCTGGGCTAGAGCCCTTAGAGCCAGGCAGTGGCCCTGGAGGAAATGCGAGGGAGGCCCGTGGCCTCTGGGTTGGGAAGGTGTAGGATTGGGGGACACCAGGAGGCAGAGGGAAGGGAGCACAGAGTAACTGGGGGATCTACAGGGTAGAAGAGAGAAGGCCCTGTTCTCTACCCCAGGTGGTCTCAGACCCCACCTTTGGGAGCAATCAGGGTCTCCTAACCCCCGTACTGCCAGCAACAGCTGTGCCAGCAAAATGGGCTGGGTGGGGTTGCGGGAGGTAGGGGAGAGCTGGAGGGTGGGAGGTGCACAGGAACCAAAGGCAGAGCTGAGCCAGGGAGAAGAGTATGCCCCAGGGACAGAGCCGGACTCTCAGGAGGGGAGGGCAGCAGCACGGAAGTAAAGAGAAAGTCAGGGCGGAGGCAGCACCTGGGCTGGGATGGAGGGATGACAGAAGAGGAAAAGGCTCAAAAAACTGAATCTAAGTGGGAAGAGCAGCCTTCCACGACGAGGTGACACCCACCTTCCTGACATGAGCACCTACCCCTGCAACCTGCTTGGTCCTGCACACCAGGCAACCCCCGCTTCCTTTCAGCCCCAGCGCCTCTGTTCTGACCATGCCCAGAGCTCCAAAGGATCCCTCCTCAGCTACCCCTTAGCCTCAGAGACCCCCTCCAGCACCCATGGAACATCAGGAAGTTCTCTCCAGCCCTCCCCCTGCGTCACCCCCTCACCTGTGGCCTCTAGGAAGTCCCTGAGGATCCAGAGGCTGAGGAGCCAGAGCAGCTGCATGGTGGTCTGAGATCCGGGATTTCAGTTCTCAGTCTAGCAGGGTGGTAATTTGGTAAGAGAGTGGTGCGGGATTATGAAGATTCCTGGGCTAGAGCCCTTAGAGCCAGGCAGTGGCCCTGGAGGAAATGCGAGGGAGGCCCGTGGCCTCTGGGTTGGGAAGGTGTAGGATTGGGGGACACCAGGAGGCAGAGGGAAGGGAGCACAGAGTAACTGGGGGATCTACAGGGTAGAAGAGAGAAGGCCCTGTTCTCTACCCCAGGTGGTCTCAGACCCCACCTTTGGGAGCAATCAGGGTCTCCTAACCCCCGTACTGCCAGCAACAGCTGTGCCAGCAAAATGGGCTGGGTGGGGTTGCGGGAGGTAGGGGAGAGCTGGAGGGTGGGAGGTGCACAGGAACCAAAGGCAGAGCTGAGCCAGGGAGAAGAGTATGCCCCAGGGACAGAGCCGGACTCTCAGGAGGGGAGGGCAGCAGCACGGAAGTAAAGAGAAAGTCAGGGCGGAGGCAGCACCTGGGCTGGGATGGAGGGATGACAGAAGAGGAAAAGGCTCAAAAAACTGAATCTAAGTGGGAAGAGCAGCCTTCCACGACGAGGTGACACCCACCTTCCTGACATGAGCACCTACCCCTGCAACCTGCTTGGTCCTGCACACCAGGCAACCCCCGCTTCCTTTCAGCCCCAGCGCCTCTGTTCTGACCATGCCCAGAGCTCCAAAGGATCCCTCCTCAGCTACCCCTTAGCCTCAGAGACCCCCTCCAGCACCCATGGAACATCAGGAAGTTCTCTCCAGCCCTCCCCCTGCGTCACCCCCTCACCTGTGGCCTCTAGGAAGTCCCTGAGGATCCAGAGGCTGAGGAGCCAGAGCAGCTGCATGGGCCTGGTGGGGTGGGGTCTGGGCGTAGAGCAGGCAGCAGCCCGGGGACAGCAGCAAGGAGGCAGCTGCAGTGTGCCCAGCAGCACCCAGCTCCAACTGAGAGGCGTGGTTATCTGCCCTGCTGGGCGTGAGCCTAAGCCTGCCTTTACCTTTACACCACCCATCTCACCCCTCTTCCCCCCTTCTTCCTGTATCTGACTTCAGCGCTGTGGGAAGGAAGGTCACTGAGCAAGCCCAGGAGGTGTCAATGGGGAGAGCGGCTTGCGGTCAACCCCAACTCCACCTGACCACCACACCCGCCTGCCTGGCCCACTCGGAGTGGATCCCAGGACAATGCCCTTCCCCTCCCCTGCCTCCCACCAAGAACTAGCAAAACTGGGTGGAGAATACACTTGGCCAAGAACTTGGACTCTGGAGTCTGGAACTGCAGTGTCTCCATAGTTTCAGCCCCAGATGCGGGGGAGGAGGTGAAACCTTGCTCTCCTTCACTCTCTCTGTCCCTTGCTCTTCCTTCTCTCCATCCAGCCCTTATCAAGACTATGGGGCTGTGACCTCACAACCAAATCCATGGAAGCAATGCAGAAGTCAGTTAGAAGTCATTTTAATATCTGAGAATTTGGCCAAGGTCCCAGAAAGGAAACACAGATGGCCAGTGGAAATAATCAAACAAAATGACCCATTTTGACCCAACAGATTAGCAACTATTAGGAAGGTTGATTCCATTCAATGTTGGGCAAGGTGTGAAAAATAAATACTCTTACCCAGCTGGTAGGATTGTGTGTTAGGCTGCTTTAAAAAGGCAACTTAGTGGCATCTATAAAAATTTTAAATATGTGCTCAAGGACCCAGTAATTTCACCGTTCCATCTCTGTGTTCAAGAAGCACTTCAAAACATGAGTGTACACACATGTCAAAATTCACTAAAAGATTTGTGCATTTTATTGTATGTACCTCAATTTAAACAAAGAGGTATTCATGAGAATATTTATTGCCATCCAGTTTATTGCAATTCCAATAGAAATTGGAGACAGCCCTCAATGGGAAACTAGGACTATGGAACAGTTATACCACAGACTACCATGCTCAAATAAAAAATGATACCATCATTGAAAGACTCTCAGAATGTCTTGTTCATTCTGAACATGTTCAGTAGACATGGTTTTGTTAAAACACACCCACATATTTTCAAATGAATACACACACGTACACCACATGTAAGTACATCCAAAATGTGTAAAAAGGCTCACCTAGTCCATAACAGGGGTAATGTTAACTCAGAGAAGAGTGAAGGAGCTATGGTTCAGAATGACAGTTAAGGAGCTCTATCATAGTTTTCAGTTTTACCTTGACAAGGATTTTCTCTTTGACCCTACAAAGACTTGAAAAAACACTAAAGTAGTTTCTAACAGCTCCAGACCTCCTCCTTAGGCTGACCCCAGCCCCTTTAAAATGCCTGCTTGAGAAAACTCAAGGCTGCCAAAAGAGCATACTGTTTGTTCCAGCCAACCCCTAAAGACAGGGCCCCTGTGCCCCAGCCTCTGTGGAAGGCGGAAGCCTAACTTTGGTGTCAGTTAGCAAACCCAGGTGGGTTTCATGTGGATCAGCCCCCGTCCCCTTTTCATAATGTTTCATTTCCTGGGCTCTGCTGAGCCTCACTCACTCCTGTTTGTACTCCCTCACCCCCCCTTTTGAAATCAATAACAAAACTCACTATTTTGTAGACAATTCACAACATTGTAGAACTAAACAATACACGTTTAAGCAACCAATGGATCAAAGAAGAAATCACTCTACAAGAGAAATTGGAAAATACCTTAAGAGATGAACAAAAACAGAAACACAACATACCAAAACTTATGGGATACAGTAAAAGCCATGCTAAAGGGCAAATTTGTAGCTATAGATGCATATGCTAAAAATAAGAAAGATCTCAAATCAACAGCCTAACTTAACAACTTAAGGAAATAGAAAAAAGAAGACCTAAATCCAAAGCAAGTAGAGAAAGGAAGTAATAAATATTAAAGCAGAGGTAAATGAAATAGAAAATAGAAAAATAATAGAGAAAATCAATTAAACCAAAAGGTGGGTCTTTGAAGAGATCAACAAAATTGGCAAAACTTTAGCTAGATGAACTAAGAAAAAAGGGAATATTCAAATTGCTAAAATCAGAAATAAAAATGGGGACATGACTACCAATCCTACAGAAATAAAAAGAATCAAGAGTATTATGAACAATTGTATGCCAACAAAGTGGGTAACTTTGATGAAATGGACAAATTCTTAGATGCACAAAACCAGATGAAACTAGGAAAAAAGTAGAAAATCTGAATAGACCTACAACTAGTAAGGAGATTGAATCAGTATCAAAAATCACTCAACAAAGAAAATGCCTGGAACTGATGACTACACAGGCAAATTCTACCAAACATTTAAATAAGAACTAATGCCAATCTTTCTCAAACTTTTCCAAAAAATTGAAGAGGAGGGACCACTTCCTAACTCATTTTATGAGGCCAGCATTACCCTGATTCCAAAACCAGACAAAAACACCACAAGAAAAGAAAACTACAGACCAATTTCCCTTATGAACATTGATACAGAAATCCTAAAAAATATGTATTAGCAAATAGAATTCAATATACTGAAAGGATTATAGAGCATGACCAACTGGGATTTATTCCTTACATGCAAGGATTGTTTAGCATATGAAAATCAATCAATATAATATGCCACATCAACAGAATGAAGGGGAAAAAAATCACCT